CATAGGCAACGACACTCGCCACACTGGGGAACTCGACTACATAAATGGAGGTATATATATATATATATTTATGAACCTCATTTTATTATTAACATACATACTCATATATCTTAATTTATTTTTTCATATATACATATACACTTTTTCCCGCTGGCGTACTGACACATTTCAAATTTTTCATATTTATTTTGAATTCTCAATATTTATTGTGACTTATACTATTTATTACGCACTTTACAAATATATAAATTTAACTACTTTTTAAAGTTAAACTAGATTACATTAATTTGATTTTTTAAACAAAAAAAACTGATATTCAAAAGCTATACGAAAAGTAATATATATAAGTTGTAATTTTTCGCATATATCAATATGATACAAAATATATTAGTAAAAATTTCTTATAGGTTGACTCTAAAATATGAAACCATGACAATTAAAAGTGTGGAGAGAGAGTAATAGTTAATTATCAAGTTGTTTCATCTGAATATTTGTCTTTGCTAGTTTCAATATCAATGAATTCATCATATTTAAGGCTAGTCAAGGCAGTGAGTAACTAATCCCTGTTTGTAGTCTGATTTTATAGAAGTCATTAAATGAATATATAACCAAAAGTAACAGGCTAGCGCATACATAGAAGATATATATACATAAGGAAAGCAAGAAACAAATATCAAAATAGAGAAATATATATACATACATAGATGAAAACATCCCCAACACCTAGTATATATTAGTATAAGTGATGGAGCTACTAATCAGTATTATATATGTACATAAAGAACCATCTCTGAATACAACATAAGGAAAATTAAGGACAATTCGGCATACCAAAAGCTCTCCCCAATGATCTGCATAAGTATAGATAGTATGAGTCGATGGGACTAAGGGGTTTTACTATTATTCATAAAAAATAATTACGAGAAAATTAAACTTGATGATTATTTCAGCTGCACTAGTTCGATACCAGATAGCAGGAAATTTTCTGGGATTGCCTGCTATTACTGTACCCGTATGTATGCTCTCTCTCTATCTTCTTAAAATATGATAACACTTTTAATTTTAATTATTTATTCAAATTAATTTAATATTTTGTCTAGGTTGGTTATGATAAGTCTCATTTGCCTATTGGTCTTCAATTTATTGGAAAGCCATGGGATGAATCCTTATTGATTCATATAGCTTTTTCCATGCAGGTAATTTAATTAATTAATATTTTTCATTATCACTCCTTTTTATTTTGTTCATTTAAATTAATTGCATATCTTGTTTTTCAGGCATTATGTATTTCACAACACAAAAAACCAGAGGTTTTCTGGGATCTGTTGGCCAGCTAGTTTAATTCTCTGTTCGTTTGATTTGCAAGCCATAATTTGGTCACTTAATTCAACAATTAACGTTTTATCTGATAAATACTATATGCATCTTAAATAATGAACTAAACCATCTCTTATCACTTGCCTCTGATCCCATGGCTAAAAGAGTCATATTGGTTGGCGAATAGACTGATGGTCAGTCTTAAGAGCATGAGTCATATCTTTACATGATATCATAATTAGGTCCAATCCTGTTTAGACTTCCAGTCCAAGCTTCGGTTGGTTCTGAGCGTAACCGGGGGTGTTAGAGTGGATAAAAGCATTCGGAAATGGACTAGCAATCTACTTATATAGACTTGAACAATCCTCACTTCATAAGCTTGCTTTGGGGTTGAATTAGGTTCTTTTACATCCCCTATGCATGCTTTCTATTAACCATAAGAAATTATTTTTAATGTATTACTCTTTTTATACTTTTTAGCTCTTTGTCTCTTCTTCATTTCTCCCCATGATCCAAAAAGAGAATCATGCTTTTGACAAAACCTCAATTAAAATTAGGTGTTTACATATTCAAAATAGGATAAATATTATAAATGATATTTATTGTTTAGCCTAAAGTTTGTTTGATTAAGTTAATCACTTAAACTGTTTAGAGTAAGACCGCAAGCAACTTAACTAATCCAAGCTATATTTATCCGTAGATAGTGTGAATAAAATGAGAACATAGTACCACGAATAATAAAAATCCAGATAATTAAAACAAAATAATTGATACAGTAAAAGAGAAAGAGTTTCTTATTGATTCTCCTAGGTAAGGTTATTTAAATTTATGAAGAGCATTGATAACCAATTATATCTCACTAAGATAAGTTAGCCTAAACCCAACAATTTCAATAAAGTGTGCAAATAAATTATAACTGAAATTTGATAACAATTTATAATGCAAATAATCAATTAACTTAGCTAAATCCTCAAAACCTGGTTATCACGTGCACAAACCTCTAATTTATTACAATGAATTTCAAAGAAAACACAAGTTTAAATGATGTTATCTCTAAAGTAGAACAAATCAAAAATAGGAGTAAGAAGGTCCACTGAGATGACAAACAACTAACTCTAGTATCACGAAGATCCGAACTCGTAACCTACAAAAATGTAGAAGCAAGGGGCGAGTACCAAACCGCAAGATACTCAACAAGTAAACTTGTAAACACAAGTAAAGGGAACAAAATAAGTGTATTTTACATTCCAACCGAACCTCCACAACTACAACCTGTATAAAAACATTCCAACCTTATGCCTCACAATTAACATAACGCATAGTTCAACCACCTCACTCCAACAATTACAACTCAGCAACACATAAGATTAAGTTCACTAGTCACAAGTTCCAAAGAAAAGCACTTACAAGTTAACAAATGATAATGATATGCAATGCAATGCAATGAAATGTCAAGTATAGTGATTCATGTATGACCTAACTATACACATCGACTGTCTCTCAGTCGGGAACATACGGGGGACATACATGTCCATGCATCTGTCGCGGCATGAAACACGTATCTTGATAATAAAATCAATTGTGGTGTGTGACACGTCAATCGAATTATAATATTTATCACAACGCACGACATGTCCCTTGAAATAGTATATTCTCTACTCAGTGAGCACAAGCATATCACTGAAGGTTACAAATTAATTACCAACATTCCAGGTCCAAAATGTAATCAAGGATTAATTGGCAAACCACCGAGTCACTCGGCGAGCTTGACTCAGCTTGCCAAATACCCCAACATGCTAGATTCCCACCTCAATATCCAGTTTTTTACGCACAACCTATAATAATCCAATTTCAAAACCAATTTTATGTCATTCAAGCCTAACCCATTACTATCATATACTCCGAGGCACTCATACTTCCCCAAATTGACCTAGATTCAAACAAATAATGATTTTTCTCTTAAGAATGACATCACCCAATTCATCATTGGGCAAGTTTGAGTTTTTTTGTGAAACTTAGGTTATTCAAACTTTACCCACACAAAATCCTAACATGCAAACCCACAATTTAAGCGCCAATCTCAAACTAAATTATGATAAATAAGATATCAGGCATGATTGAATTCGAATTAGATATAATGAATAATTTAACACAAAATCAAAGAAACTAATAGATCTACAAACTACTCAAACACATTCTCAACATAACTCTTACAATTTTAAAACTAGTTTGGCCAACCAGTCTCAATTTCAAAGATATGAAACTAAAGCAAAGGGATACAACAAGTAATACTTTAGCTTCTGAGCACACAAGGACATCCACAAAAATATTGAAATGAAAAATAGAACCTAAACTTTGATTGTAAATGTACAAGAGTCGAAAATTTCAAAATAAGGTTTGAATTAAAAATGGTTGAAAGACCCATGACCCTTCAGTTAGCGTTTCGATCAGTTAGGTCTATTAATTCCACCTATCCACTCGGTGAGTCTCCGAGTGGACTTTAGTCTGCCGAATTTATAAGAGTCATCGTCCTTCAGTCGGTCCAAAAGGCGAGATAAGTCGCATTCACTGAGCTACTTGTCGATTCGCTGAATGGACTTTGGCTCGCCCATTTACCCTTTTCCTTTAAATTTCAAATTTGTATTCACATGCAACAACCGTTATTCAAAACAAAAGTAAAACGTGGGTTACCTCCCATGAATCGCCTTTTTTAATGTCATGGCACGACGTGTCCATGTCATCAAGCCTCATTCTTTGGGTTCACCAAAGTATTACTATGAAGACCCTCTTTTGATCTTGGATTCAAATGAACCGAGATTTGACCCATCTAAGTTTTAAGTACCTTGATAGAAAACGAGTGTGAAGTCATTGTTTCATTTCCTTGAGTAGCTTGTATGATCCTTCCACTTTGTTTAAGATACAAGCACAGATATCCTTAGTACGAAAACTTTCGGGATCATCCCTTTATTTCTTCGACTTTTGACGTTCATGAGGAGGCACATAGTGATATTTGTTACCATATATTTATCTCCAATTTGCACCATGGTCTCTCCATTATTTATCCCAATCTCTCCAACCATCATCGTGATCTCTATTCGAACCTTGATTTCTGCCCCGACCTTGGATAGCTCAAATGAGAACCCCCCACTTGGTTCGACATGAACTGAACCTTATCAATGTACATGGAATTAGATTGGGTGTCATCAGGTTCACTCCTCTAATATCTCTCTAATTGAAAGGACTATAAAGGATTTAAAAAATTGGAATGGTCGATTTTGGAAAGAATATAAAAATCTGGAAAATTTTTTAAGTATGTTAAGTTGAGTTTTTGGCCAACTTCAAGAAACCGTAACTCTTATTTATACATGAGTTAGGTGTGCTTCCAGATATCATAGGAAAGATCTTGAAATAATATTTTCAACGCTTTCAAGTTTGCGCGATTCTGAGTTCGTATGAGTGGGATATGCCCATTTGAAGTTAGGTTGTTACAATAAGGAAAATTTTATCCGGATTTTTGAAGGGAAATTTTTCTTTTCCTTACCCAATTAATTAAATGCATATTTAGTAAATTATTTGGGATCTAAATTGAGTTAATTCAGTTTACGCAATTAAGAAATATGCTAGGACTTTGAGAGAAGAGAAAAGAGGAGAAAGGAGAAGAGAAGTTCAAGATTTGTAAAGTTCTTGAAATTTTGGTTGTGGAATTCGCCGTGGATTAATCCTACAAGGTATGTGAGACTTTCATAGTGTTGGGTTCGTCCACGTACACGACAATCATGTTTGTTTCAGCAAAATTTATTTCTAGAAAGTTGATAGTATGATGTTCTTAAATTATGTTCTTGAAGTTCGTTTTAGTACTTTAGATTTGATAGGATTGTGCAGTTCTTGATGAAATCATGTCATTTTAAGAGTTGTTTTGAATTAGGATCTTGTGTATATATACTGAGTATTTGAATCTAAAAAAGAATTGATAAAAAAGAATTGAAATTAGGTAAATTGGGTTTAGAAAACGAGAAAAAAAAATTGGACAAGGAACATGTTCTCGGTCCACGTCGCGGATTTGTCCTTTCAATGTAAAATTTTTCTCTCCACGTCACGGAGAGGTCGCGGACTCCAGTGTTTCAAAATTTTATTTCAGTATCAAATATTTAAATGCATCTCAGCGTCGCTGACTTGCTTCCAGTGATTTCTTAATCTTCTTTTCATATTTAACAATATAAAAACACTTCTAAATATCACGAGATCTTTCCTGTCATAAATCAAAATCCTTGAATCCATAATTCAATTAAAGAAAAGTTAAGAGTCAAGTCAAGAGAAGTCAATAGTTACATCCAGAGAAGTTAATATCCAAGTTAAGAGAAGTTCATAAAGTCTTTCAAAAGTCTTTTATAAATGTTTTAACTTTGTTTTGAGACTTGAGTTTTGAGTTGAGTAAAGTGAAATTTTAACTTAATTTCTTCCAAAAGTGTATATTGGGACTATGTATTCCCAAAGAGTAAAATGTTTTCACATTTAAAGAATAAAGGAAACCTTGATTTCCAAAAGAGTCTTTGATCTAGTTTTCAGTTAAAGAGTAAATGTTTTTACATTTGAGCAAGAATGTGAAAATCAATTCCAAAAGGGCTTTTAAGATAAATTTTGAGTAATTATCTCAAACCAAAGAAAGAAGTTGCTGAGTATTTTGAAGTAGTATTAAGCATCAAAATGGGGGTGAGTTTGACTCATAGGTGGCTCGATTGTGTTAAAAAAAAGAAATGTGCCTTAGGCCCCCAAATTTAAGGGGCCTCATTTTTAATAATAATAAGTTATAAGTTATTGTCTTTTAACAAACATTGAACACTATTTGTAGAAAAAGTAATTTTTTCATGAAAAATGAAGGAATTATAGAAGAAATTTGACATATTTGAAGTATTATATCTCATGAAAAATAATTTAAAACAAGAATGATTATATTATCAGTTGAAAACTAGAAGAAATCAATTATATAAAATTATTGACGATTCAAGTTGAAGACCCCATTTAATTTTTGTTTTAGGCCACTAATATTCTTAAGCCACTCCTGGTTTGACTTCAGATAACTCACTCTCCATAAACCATGTAGCCATCATGGGTAGTAAATGATCATACTTTTTAGATGATTCCTTAAGTGCTTTTTAGCATAGACTAGTGGATCCACTTAGTTAAGGCATTTTATATGACGATAAAGTATATGACAGTTCTAGCAGCGTGGGCAAGATAATGTATCACCAATTAGCTCATAGTGGTTGTTTTCTGTTAGAGAAACTTCCACAAAAACTATATTACTTTATTATATGAGTAAAGTTGAGATTGTTATTGTATATTATTTATTGAACGAAGTTGTTTTCCACTATTTTACAAGTTTTCCATATATTGCATGTGTTTTATTGCTCTATATTGAGTTAAGTTATTCATGAGTTGAGAAAATCCAAAGTAAGTGTTTCTTTTAGATTCCTTTCA